CTTGATTTTCCTCATAATCAATATTTCCTTTTACAGTTATTACTCCAGTATTATCGTTCAGGGCAAATTTATCATCAGGGTTTAAACGACCACTTTCTGTGAAAGAGTATACAAGTTCACCATTAACACCTTTATCTAAATCAGTAGCATTCAGTGTTAATAATGTTGTACCAATATTTGTATTTTCAACCACTTGGACCTTGTAGAGAGGTTTACTGAACACGGGTGAATTATCATTTACATCCAGTACATTAACTTTTATCTGTAATGTCCCCGTTTTTGGAGGTTTTCCACCATCTATAGCAGTCAGCGTGAGTTCAATAACATCCTGTTTTTCCCGATCTAATGGCTTCTGCAGCACCAACTCAGCGGATACACTCTGATCACCAGTGTTCTGTATATCCAAAGAGAAATAATCATTCGGGTTTAATTTGTAAGTCTTCACCGAGTTGGTCCCTACGTCTGCGTCATGAGCAATCGGTAGGGGATGCCTCTCTCCGATATATGACGATTCAGACATATCTATTGTAGATATTTCCTCTAGAAAAGAAGGCGCATTGTCATTAATATCATTAACCACAACTTCAATTCGATGGAGGCTGCGAGGGTTACTCATTAGGGCCTCTATATTTAAAGAGCATTTTACCGTATTTGGACAAATCTCCTCCCGATCTATCCTTTCGCTAACGGAAAGTACTCCAGTTTCATGATTTATATCAAAATAGCATTTGGTATACCCAGAGGTAATCTGAAGGCCCGCTGATTCCAATCGCTGAACATTGAGATTGAAATCCTTAGCCAGATTTCCCACTGCCGTCCCTTTGTCCACCTCCTCTGAAATGGTATAGGATATTTGAGCCACGGACCAGTCGCAGAGACAAAGCAGAGTGAAAAGCAGACCCCCTATGTTATCCCATTGTTCCCGAGCAGCCATCGTTGTTTAGACAAAACAACGACTCCTGGTTTCTGCCTGTAGGCCTATCCACAAAAAATGAAAAGTTGCTTTTTTATGTATCCATTCTGGTTTACGGTCCTCTCTCTTTTGGGTTTCATTAGTCTGTGCGCTATCTCCACAAAGCACTGCCAGATGATGACGTTTTCGTTTTTGTCATCAATAGAGGAGGAGTTTCTAAACACTGAACACATGATTTTTGCATGGTCTCGAGCGACATCTCCTGACAATTTTGTATAGAAAGACGGCCCAAATATATCAAGTAGAGTAAAGTCTATGCTGAATAAACTACTACAATTAATGGATTGATTTTGGAAGACTGTTCATTGAATAAAATTTGCAGTTTAATAAATATTTCTTGTTATTCATTAACAAATAATCTATTTATGTAGTTATTTTATATGGCCTTTGTATTCAGTTAATAAAAACTAGGACACGGAATATAACCTGCAACATATCAGCCACATGGACAGCAGCCGAATCAGTGAAATAACAGAAGACGAGATGTTTTCAGCACCAGGGACAGCGGCTCAATGCATTTTAATGCATTTCATGTCATTGCTCAAAAGACTGCAGAAGATAGGCTACCATAAAAGCCAGTGACAAGATTTCAGTGTTGTTGTACTGAAATATTTCTTAAACCATATAAAGCATCCCCGAGTCCACACTCGTTAATTCGCCTGCCAACTTGCTAGTTAAAGCCACACATAGAGGATCGGTTTTACCTGGCTGAAAAGAATTAGCCAGGGGCATACAGGCAACAACCAGTGTCTGTGTAACCAACCTTTTTAAATTAATAACAGTATGTGAAAATCGCTGCACATCATAAATATCTGTAGGCAAAGTTGAAAAATAATTAGCAGTAACTTAAAATGTTTATAAGACTTAGAGAAAATTTGCACATGATGCAAAAATTTACAAAAAAATAATGAAATTAAATGAAAATCACTCAGCTTACCTTTTCTTTATTAGGTAAAGTCTGAGTCCTGGTAAAGGTGTCTGCTCCGTTAATACTGATCAGCTCCGCATCTACAGGCGGAAACGGTGCGGGGAAAACTACTACGTCACTCTTGAGCGTGTCTGAGCTGAAACAGACGTCATACTGCTGAGTAGCTTTAGAATAAGACCAGCTCCCGTCAGGGTGGGTGGTAATCATTGGGGCGCTGTACCTGCTGAAACTGCCGTCTGTCCTGTGGCATTTGACAGCTATTAAGCTGATGAGACTCAGCAAAAAGATCACTGACACCGACACAATGGCGATCAGCAGATACAGGTTTAAATCAGAGAAGCTGTCCTCCTTTATGGGCACATGTCTGAACTGAGTCTGGATGTCAGCTGTGCTTTCAACCACCACCACCTCAATAGACACAGTAGCTGACAGGGAGGGTTCTCCGTTATCAGAAACCAAGACCACCAGGGGGTGAGTTTTCAGGTCATTGTCACTCATTCTCCTCTTAGTCCTGATTTCTCCGGTGCTGGTTCCGATCCTGAAGAGGTTGTTTCCTTTGGGCTCAGAGAGGTGATAAGAAAGCAGCGCATTGTATCCAGAGTCTGCGTCTACAGCCCTGATCTTTGCCACAAAGTATCCCGCTTCAGCAGAGTAGGGGATGCTCTCACTGTTAACGGAGCCGTGCTCAGAATAGGGCGCGAGAACCGCGGGACTGTTGTCATTCTCATCCAGGATAAAAACGTTCACAGTCACGTTGCTGCTGAGCGGAGGAACACCAGAGTCTGTGGCCTGAACTTTAAACTGAAATGTTTTTAACTCCTCGTAGTTAAATGACTGAAGACTGACTATATCTCCCGTCTCTGAGTTTATGTTTATCAATGTAGGAAGGGGCAGAGATTTACTGTTATTGTCTAAAAACGAGTAGCTCACCTGACCATTTTTACTGATGTCAGCATCGGTTGCAGTCACTGTTTTAATAATGGTTCCTACTTTGCTGTTTTCTTTCACGTAAATGTTTATTACAGGTTCTGGGAAATATGGCGCATTGTCATTTACATCAGAAACGTAAACAGTAATGACACTGGTATTCGAAAGAGGTGGACTCCCTTCATCTGTAGCTGAAATTGTCACATTGTAATGGTTCGTTACCTCTCTGTCTAGATGCCCGTCAACCACTAAAGAATAGTATTTTTTATAATTTGTGTCTAATTTGAACGGAACTTTGTTTAATATCTCACAGTTTACTTCACCGTTCTTTTCACTATCTTTATCTAGAACTGAAACTAGTGCAATAGCTGTACCTACACCTGCGTCTTCATTCACTGTGTTGAGCAGTGACGTCACAGTGATTTCAGGAGCGTTGTCATTTACATCTATTACTTCTACCAGCACTTTACTATGAGCAGACATAGGAGGCTGGCCTTTGTCCCTAGCCTCTGCCCGGATCTCAAAAGCTTTTCTTTCCTCATAGTCGATTTTACCTTTCACTGAAATGATCCCTGTGTCAGGGTCAATTTTGAAAATATCCAGAATATGGTCCTGATCCTTATTACGAAGAGAATAGACTATTTCACTGTTTGTGCCCTCATCAGCATCTGTCGCATTTAAGGTGAAGATCGCCGTACCAATCGGAATATTTTCAAATATTTTAACTTTGTACAGAGTGCTGCTGAAAATTGGTGCGTTATCATTGTTGTCTAGTACATTTATTTCAATTTCTGATGTGCCTGAATTTGGTTTAGATCCCCCGTCTACCGCAATTAACAGGAGCTGTAGATTTGGCTTTTTCTCCCGGTCTAGGGCTTTCTGCAACACTAACTCTGGATATATGTTCTCCCCTCTTTTGTGTGTGGCCAGACTGAAATATTCATTTGGACTGAGCTTATAAGCACTAACACCATTTTTACCCACATCACCATCGGTTGCCTCAGATAACGCGAATCTAAATCCAGGCAAAGTGTTCTCTGCAATGTCAAGTATTTGTGTTTTTGTGTTAAAAGACGGGGAATGGTCATTGACATCTCTAATTTCTACCTCGACGCGGTAAAGCTTTAAAGGGTTGTTTATCACAGCCTCTACGTTAACAGTGCATTTAGGTTCATCTGCACAAAGCTCCTCTCGGTCGATCCGTTCATTGGCATACAGAAATCCGGTCTTTAGATTTACGTCGAAGTATTTCCTCTTAGATCCTGTAACAATCTGGAACAAACGGGACTCCAATTCATGCACATTGAGGTTTAGATCCTTGGCGATATTTCCGACATTAGTTCCCGTGTTTACCTCCTCTGAGACAGAGTAAGAGAGCTGACCAAACGCCGTTTCCCAGTAGCAATCCAACAACACCAGCACCAGATATGTAACAATAGACCTCCTGCTACTCGGTAAAGGCATAATTCCGCCGAGAAAGAACAAAGCATACATCCACAACGGCGTTTCTACCGCAAAATGAGATGTGATAAAAATTTTAGGCAGGACTATTTCGACTTTAATATTTTTTAAGACAAATAATCCAACATGCCGTCCCTTCTCCTCTCGTGCCTCTTTGTGATGAAAATCCAAAGTCACTCAGTGTTATTCTGGGAGGAGCCTCGATATTTCAGTGTCACGGTCTAGAGCGTCACTGTGTGGTAACTGTGATAAACTGCACAAACACACTTGAAATCCCTTATTTAGAAATACAGATAAACGCATAACTCTAAAGGGCACCATGAGTTAATGGAAGGGTTTTAATGCCTTAAAAACACACAATAGCCTACATTTCATAATATATTGTCAGCCTCACACTTAAGTGCATTAAAAGTTGCTGTAGTATAGAATGTGCTGTTACGTTGTTTTTTGAAATTATCCAAACACCAATGTTTTGAACGGATATTAAACTTCGAAATTAAGGCTGCACGTCTGACACAAATTAAACAGTATCTCTAAAGTTGGAATTTAGCAATTGATGTTTTAAGGATGTAAGAGAAAATATATTTTCTTTCTGACTATATAGTTTGCATAATATAAGCAGTCAATCTTAAATAATCAAGTTTGGAGTATAAAATGAAGTTATAGATGGAAGTGGGGCTTTCCATAAAAACTCATTGTAAAAGTCCCTCATCAGTAGATAAAATACTGAAGGAAGGGTTAAGGCATGAAGACTGTGAACAGTGACAAACATACCTCTGACATAAACAAGATAAACAAACACTGAAGTAACATATTTTGAGTGAACAGTCATAAGTTACACCAGTTTTACTGTGCACCATTTTTTAACAGAGAAAGAATTTCACTACCACTTTCTTATCGCATTCTTTTATCATATAAAGATATTGGCACACTTCCAAATATACTGCAGAATTGAACAGCTTGTTTCCAAGAGGGGAACATACTGTACCTGTACAATATATTTTCCGCATGTGATGAGGTTTGAAGGCAGAACACATTGAGAAACTTTCATCCAGCACCACAGACAGCGACATACAAATCTAAATGAGGGCTTGGTAGCAAAAAGAGGATATTGCAGCAACATATGTAGCGCAGGCCTATATCAACGTAAGAAAGACAACAACTAGAGACTTCTAATTCATTCATAACAAAAAAAGATTTGTTGTCCTTAGTTAGTGTTCAGTATAAGGGGCAATCATGAGAAATATGTAATACAAATCTTACCTTTTCTTTATTAGGTAAAGTTTGAGTTCTGGTAAAAGTGTCTCCTCCGTTAATACTGATCAGCTCCGCATCCACAGGTGGAAACGGTGCGGGGAAAACCACTACGTCACTCTTGAGCGTGTCTGAGCTGAAACAGACGTCATACTGCTGAGTAGCTTTAGAGTAAGACCAGCTCCCGTCAGGATGGGTGGTGATCATTGGGGCGCTGTACCTGCTGAAACTGCCGTCTGTCCTGTGGCATTTGACAGCTATTAAACTGATGAGGCTCAGCAGAAAAATCACTGAAACCGACACAATGGCGATCAGCAGATACAGGTTTAGATCAGAGAAGCTGTCCTCCTTTATGGGCACATGTCTGAACTGAGTCTGGATATCAGCTGTGCTTTCAACCACCACCACCTCAATAGACACAGTAGCTGACAGGGAGGGTTCTCCGTTATCAGAAACCAACACCACCAAGGGGTGAGCTTTCACGTCATTGTCACTCATTCTCCTCTTAGTCCTGATTTCCCCGTTGCTGGTTCCGATCCTGAAGAGGTTGTTTCCTTTGGGCTCAGAGAGGTGATAAGAAAGCAGCGCACTGTATCCAGAGTCTGCGTCTACAGCCCTGATCTTTGCCACAAAGTATCCCGCTTCAGCAGAGTAGGGGATGCTCTCACTGTTAACGGAGCCGTGCTCAGAATAGGGCGCGAGAACCGCGGGACTGTTGTCATTCTCATCCAGGATAAAAACGTTCACAGTCACATTACTGCTGAGCGGAGGAGCACCAGAGTCTGTGGCCTGAACTTTAAACTGAAATGTTTTTAGCTCCTCATAGTTAAAAGACTGCAGACTGACTATATCTCCTGTCTCGGAGTTGACATTAATCATAGTAGACAGCGACACAAAGTTATTATCACTGACTAATGAGTAGGTCACCCGACCATTATCACTAATGTCAGCATCAGTTGCAGATACTGCTTTCAAAACCGTGCCAACTGGACTATTTTCTTCCACATACATATTAATTACAGTCTCTGAAAACCGAGGTATGTTGTCATTTACATCAGAAACCTGAATAATAACCACGTTGGTGTTGGAGAGAGGGGGCCTACCTTCATCTGAAGCTTTGATAGTGATATTGTAGTGGGAAATTAGTTCCCTGTCTAGATCTCCACCGATAACTAATGAATAATAATTTTTATAATTTGTCTCCAATTTAAAGGGAACCGCATTCAATATCTCACATTTTACTTCACCATTTTTCCCCCCATCTCTGTCAAGGACTGAAACAAGTGCAATGGCAGTACCGATTTCAGCGTCCTCCCTCACTGTACTGAGCAGTGACGTCACCGTGATATCAGGGGCATTGTCATTTAGGTCCACAACCTCCACCAGTACTTTACACTGGGCTGTTAATGGAGGTTGGCCTTTGTCAGCAGCCTGCACGCGGATTTCAAATGCAGGATTTGTTTCAAAGTCTATTTTCCCTTTAACTGTTATTATTCCTGTTTCCGAGTCAATTTCAAAAATGTCCAAGACATGGTCCTGGTCTTTTGAGTTCAGCAAATATACAATGTCTTTGTTTGGACCCTCATCGGCGTCAGTTGCAGTCACTGTCACGACTGTAGTGCCAAGTGGTGCATTTTCCGTCATACTTGTTTTATACAATGTTTTGGTAAAAACTGGAATATTGTCGTTGATATCAAGAACATGAATTAATATTTCTGATGTCCCTGATTTTGGAGGCGTTCCTCCATCTACAGCAGTCAGTGTGAGTTTAATTAATGCCTGTTTTTCTCTGTCTAATGATTTCTGAAGGACTAGCTCGGCTGACACACTCTCTCCTTTGTGCACTGCTAAAGAAAAATATTCATTGGGATTTAGCTTGTATGTGTTAATACTATTTTTCCCTACATCGGCATCGTAGGCCGACAGCAGAGGGAATGTTGCTCCCGGCAATATGCTCTCTGCTATGTCGATAGTTTGTGATTTGGCACTGAAAGAGGGCGGATTATCATTCACGTCGAGAATATTCACTTCAACACGGTAAAGCTTCAGTGGATTATTAATCACAGCCTCTACATTTATTGTACATTCTGCAGCTTTCGCACAGAGCTCTTCTCTGTCTATTCTGTCACTGACGTAGAGAAAACCTGACTTCAAATTTACATCGAAATACTTTCGCTTTGATCCAGTAACGATCTGAAACATACGTGACTCCAAATCATGTACATTAAGATTTAATTCCTTGGCGAGATTTCCAACAGAAGTCCCCAGGTTTACCTCCTCTGAAACGGAATAGGAGAGCTGCCCTGATACTGCTCCCCAGTTATACTCCAAGACAACAAGCACTAGATATATCCCGATAGAGGTCTTTCTTCCCGGCAGCTGCATAATTCCATACAGCAGCAACAAAGCATAGATCCGTATATCGATGGCCTTTCGCGTATTAAAACCAAAGAATCGTTTGAAAGACCAAACTATGTGGCAGTACGACTCATATACACATCTCCCCTCGCCTTACGTCTCAGTCTAACAAAGCACTGACAAAAATGGTGATCTTTTGAATGTGGGAGGGCCCTCTACACAACAGCGAGCTGCTGGCGGCTTTATGGTCTAGAGTGTCACCTCATGGCCTTTTGAAATAACTACAATGTTTTCAAATAAACAGGCAAAGACTGATGTTTGAAAGAAGCCCCCAGAATTGATGTTACTCTTTTCAGTGATTAAACAACAAAAATGACAGCTGCTTCATTTCTGGGTGTACTGACATGCCGTCATACTGTCACATAATGTATCCGCCATATATTTCAGAACCATGGACTAATCATCATGCTAATGCATCGTGGTAAGCACAGGTGCGCTAACGAGGCCTTTAAGAAGGCCTTAATGATGGTTGTTCGAAATAAAAAAATAAATAAAAATACTGTGGGAGTAAGTAAGCTGGAGGAGTAAGCTGTAAATTGTTTCAACATATTTAGACAAAGGCCTTGCAGACCCAACATTAGATGGCTATTTGTATACAAAATAAATTAAAAAAGAGATTCACAAGTCAGCAAGGCTAGGAGCTATCACAACTGTGTTGCTTTTCCCTTTCTTACTGCTTTGAATTTGCATCGAAAACTCGACCACAGCACTGGAACAGCGATGTTGTATCGGCTACTTTATACAAGAAAGTAGTGCATAACTCCACAATTGTTGACAAAACATGTGAATACCACTGCTTGCATGCAAATTAAATGACTGAAACTATTCATCTCCATTGTTTTTAGGAAAACTAAAATGTATTTAAGAACTGTTTAACATTGATTTCTGAACTCTCTCTCAATCGAAATCCCAGTCAAGTATTATGAAAAGCAAGTATGTAAAAAGATCAATTTCACACTAATATATTTTGTGATACTGTTTCTCTCATGTAACATGCTCATTGCACATTATAAGCAGTGAGAGTAAACGTTGATAGATGTGACTGATTTAATTAGATTACATTGAGTATGACAATTATTCAAGTGTTGAATGTGACTTGAAGCACATGGTTTTTTAAAGGTTTTTTATGTGACGTTTCAGTCACATTTAAGTAAATTAAACGCAATGATGACGTTTTCGGAAGCCTAAACAAGAAAATATTATGTCGCTATTGGAACACACCTTTGGGTAAAAAGAACTGAAACGTGTAAAAGTAAATCCACAGACACAAACTCATTAAAACAAGGACAGATGGAAAATCTCTCGTTACCTTACTCTGCAAGAGCAGAAATCACAACTCTACAAAAGAAGGTCATTTACTTGTTTACTTGATATACCCTTACCTTTTCTTTGCTGGGTAAAGTCTGAGTCCTGGTAAAAGTGTCTCCTCCGTTAATACTGATCAGCTCCGCATCTACAGGCGGAAACGGAGCGGGGAAAACCACTACGTCACTCTTGAGCGTGTCTGAGCTAAAACAGACGTCATACTGCTGAGTAGCTTTAGAGTAAGACCAGCTCCCGTCAGGATGGGTGGTGATCATTGGGGCGCTGTACCTGCTGAAACTGCCGTCTGTCCTGTGGCATTTGACAGCTATTAAGCTGATGAGACTCAGCAGAAAAATCACTGAAACCGACACAATGGCGATCAGCAGATACAGGTTTAAGTCAGAGAAGCTGTCCTCCTTTATGGGCACATGTCTGAACTGGGTCTGGATGTCAGCTGTGCTTTCAACCACCACCACCTCAATAGACACACTAGCTGACAGGGAGGGTTCTCCGTTATCAGAAACCAAGACCACCAAGGGGTGAGTTTTCAGGTCATTGTCACTCATTCTCCTCTTAGTCCTGATTTCTCCAGTGCTGGTTCCGATCCTGAAGAGGTTGTTTCCTTTGGGCTCAGAGAGGTGATAAGAAAGCAACGCATTGTATCCAGAGTCTGCGTCTACAGCCCTGATCTTTGCCACAAAGTATCCCGCTTCAGCAGAGTAGGGGATGCTCTCACTGTTAACGGAGCCATGCTCAGAATATGGAGAAAGGATCGCGGGACTGTTGTCATTCTCATCCAGGATAAAAACGTTCACAGTCATGTTGCTGCTGAGCGGAGGAACACCAGAGTCTGTGGCCTGAACTTTAAACTGAAACGTTTTTAACTCCTCGTAGTTAAAGGCCTGCAGGCTGACTATATCTCCTGTCTCTGAGTTAATGTTTACCATTGTAGAGAGAGGCACTGAGTTACTGTTGTCGTGTAAAAATGAATATCTCACCTGACCATTTTGATCCATGTCAGCATCAACTGCAGTTACTCTCTTAATTACTGCTCCCACTGGACTATTCTCTTTCACATAGACACTAATTATATTTTCTGTGAACAGAGGTTTGTTATCGTTTACATCTGAGACGTGCAAAGTAATAACACTCGTGCTGGAGAGAGGCGGGGTCCCCTCGTCAGTAGCAGTGATGCTGATATTGTATTGAGATGTGCTCTCTCTGTCAAGAGGACCGTCAACCACCAATGAATAGTAATTCTTATAGTTTGATTCTAATTTGAAAGGAACGTTATTGGAAATTTTACAGTTCACCATCCCATTTTTACTCCCGTCTTTATCAAACACTGAAACAAGCGCAATAGCTGTGCCAATGGACGCGTCCTCTTTCACGGTGTTTAACAGTGATGTAACTGAAATCTCAGGGGCATTGTCATTGACGTCTAAAACTTCAATCAGTAATTTTGCATGGGAGGTCATTGGTGAGGAAGCTCCATCACTGGCTTGGACTCGAATCTCAAAAGCATTGTTCTCTTCAAAGTCGATATTCTTTTTATTTGTTACAGTCCCGGTTTTTTCATCTATAGCAAACAGATCAGTTTGTTTCCCTCGGCCTACTTCACTGAATGAATACAACACTTGTCCGTTCTGACCTGCATCTAAGTCCGTAGCGTTTAGCGTTATTATTGATGTGCCTATTTTCACATTCTCATAAACATTCGCTTTATACAATGTTTGACTGAATATAGGAGGATTATCGTTAATGTCCAATACATTCACTATTATATTCATACTGCCTGATTTAGCAGGAGTTCCTCCATCAATGGCAGTCAGTGTGAGTCGAATCACAGACTGTTTTTCTCTGTCTAAAACTTTCTGAAGCACTAATTCAGGAGTGACAGTCTCTCCTTTATGTGTTGCCAGCGAAAAGTGTTCATTTTGACTAAGCTTGTAGGTATTCACATCGTTTTTACTAACGTCTGCATCGTCAGCAGGATGCAGGGGAAATTTAGCCCCTGCTGCTGTGCTCTCACTAATGTTGATCACTTGTGACGTGCTGAGAAATGATGGAGAATTATCATTCACATCCAAGATTATAATTTCTATCCGATACAGTTTTAATGGATTATTAATAACTGCTTCTACACTAAGTGAACATTTTGGTTCATGACTGCAGAGTTTCTCTCTATCTATTCTCTCATTAACGTAGAGGACACCAGTCTTTAGATTTACCTCGAAATATTTTGTCTTTGATCCAGAAACGATCTGAAACATGCGGGACTCCAAATCCTGGACATTGATGTTCAGATCTTTAGCGATATTTCCGACAACAGTCCCCAGATTTACCTCCTCTGAGACGGAGTAAGAGAGCTGCCCAGACACCGCTTCCCAGTAACAATCGACCAGCACTAAGAAGAGATAGATCCACACAGACCCCGTCCTGCCCGATAAATGCATAATTCCATACATCGAAAAGGAGCGTGTTGGCAAATTTGAACAATATGTGACAGCAGCAGCGATATCACGATCATGGAAGAAATATTCCAGACAAATATTTCGGCTTTTTTACGACCAAAGAAGACAGCCGTTCTTTGTCGGACGATCTCTCTTTGTAACAAAGCCCACAGATTCATCATAAGCTGAGTCTGGGAGGAGCCCTAAACCACCAAAGAGGACGTACAAATGTGATGGTCTGCAGTGTCCCCATGTGGACATTTCTCATCATTTCATACTACATCAAATATAATAATGTTGGAAATAGGAAACATTCTCAGTTATCCTTGAAAGCGAGGAAGTGCAAAAATTCAGGGGCAAAGGATAGACAAGAACGTTTCACCGACCTATTGATAAAATTTACATTACATGGCTACAGTATTTGCTATAATTAAGCCTGTTTTATACACTGACTGAAATTTCAAGAAAAAGCCTAACAGTAGTGACATTAAGTTATATGAATAAATACACTCATTGACTTTTTTTTAACTTAAGTGTAAAGTAACTGCAGAGTAGATAAACTGTTTTCTTGAAGATGGATTGTGAAATTTCTAACATACTTTTCAATAGTCATTACCAAAGAGATTTGCACGTCTATTCAAATAAATGTTTTCACTTCAACTACGTTTTGTTTTGCATTACATTTTGAAAATCACAGGTAACTTCAAAAGTTGTGTTCAGCACCACGGATAGTCCCTCCCAAGTAGAATACCAATCAGCCGCTATAATGACTGAAATTTCAAAACCTTCAACAAATGAGCAGCTACAGTAGCAAAATTGAACTATAAATTCAACAATAACGAGTACTACTTGATAGTGATCCTGTATCATTTAAAAAGCAGTCAAATGCCAAAGCAGTATCTTGACCGTACCATAGTAGAAAGTCAGTTTTAAAATAAGTACTTAATATAACTATTGTCTTGCTTGTAATCAGATCTTATACTTTAATGTTAAGCACAATGTGTGTAAATGTATTCATTCATATGGTGTACTCGAAATGACCTGCACATTAAAATCACAAATAAGCAGTCAACAAAAACCATCCACAAATAGCCTACACAGCAAGCCACAGTTTAGAGGATAATAATATCAATCTGCTCCTCTTATACTTGATTTTTTTTTTTTTTACCTAAACTTTATTTCAAATTTAGTCTAGGCTACTTGTCAGTTAGCAGGCCCTTATATAACAAAACAGCGACATTCAGCCTCCAATTCTCAACTTATAAAAAGTGCAGTAATAAATACTTGATGCAAGTGTATTCTTACCTTATCTTTATTAGGTAATGTCTGAGTCCTGGTAAAAGTGTCTCCTCCGTTAATACTGATCAGTTCCGCATCTACAGGCGGAAACGGTGCTGGGAAAACCACTACGTCACTCTTGAGCGTGTCTGAGCTGAAACAGACGTCATACTGCTGAGTAGCTTTAGAGTAAGACCAGCTCCCGTCAGGGTGGGTGGTAATCATTGGGGCGCTGTACCTGCTGAAACTGCCGTCTGTCCTGTGGCATTTGACAGCTATTAAACTGATGAGGCTCAGCAGAAAGATCACTGACACCGACACAATGGCGATCAGCAGATACAGGTTTAAATCAGAGAAGCTGTCCTCCTTTATGGGCACATGTCTGAACTGAGTCTGGATGTCAGCTGTGCTTTCAACCACCACCACCTCAATAGACACAGTAGCTGACAGGGAGGGTTCTCCGTTATCAGAAACCAAAACCACCAAGGAGTGCGTTTTCAGGTCATTGTCACTCATTCTCCTCTTAGTCCTGATTTCTCCGGTGCTGGTTCCGATCCTGAAGAGGTTGTTTCCTTTGGGCTCAGAGAGGTGATAAGAAAGCAGCGCATTGTATCCAGAGTCTGAGTCTACAGCCCTGATCTTTGCCACAAAGTATCCTGCTTCAGCAGAGTAGGGGATGCTCTCACTGTTAACGGAGCCGTGCTCAGAATAGGGCGCGAGAACCGCGGGACTGTTGTCATTCTCATCCAGGATAAAAACGTTCACAGTCACGTTGCTGCTGAGCGGAGGAATACCAGAGTCTGTGGCCTGAACTTTAAACTGAAACGTTTTTAACTCCTCGTAGTTAAAGGCCTGCAGGCTGACTATATCTCCAGTTTCTGAGTTAATGTTCACCATTGTAGAGAGAGGCACTGAGTTACTGTTGTCATGTAAAAATGAATATCTCACCTGACCATTTTGATCGATGTCAGCATCAGTTGCTGAAACGGTTTTTATAACGGCTCCTATGGCACTATTCTCTTTCACATAGACACTAATTATATTTTCTGTGAACAGAGGTTTGTTATCATTTACATCTGAGACGTGCAAAGTAATAACACTCGTGCTGGAGAGAGGTGGGGTCCCTTCGTCAGTAGCAGTGATGCTGATATTGTATTGAGATGTGCTCTCTCTGTCAAGAGGACCGTCAACCACCAATGAATAGTAATTCTTATAGTTTGATTCTAATTTGAAAGGAACGTTATTGGAAATTTTACAGTTCACCATCCCATTTTTACTCCCGTCTTTATCAAACACTGAAACAAGCGCAATAGCTGTGCCAATGGAAGCATCCTCCTTCATGGTGTTTAACAGTGATGTAACTGAAATCTCAGGGGCATTGTCATTGACGTCTAAAACTTCAATCAGTAATTTTGCATGCGAGGTCATCGGAAAAACTGCCCCATCACTGGCTTGGACTCGAATCTCAAAAGCATTGTTCTCTTCAAAGTCGATATTCTTTTTATTTGTTACAGTCCCGGTTTTTTCATCTATAGCAAACAGATCAGTTTGTTTCCCTCGGCCTACTTCACTGAATGAATATTGCACTTGTCCATTCTGACCTGCATCGAAGTCCGTCGCGTTTAGCGTTATCATTGATGTGCCTATTTTTACATTCTCATAAACACTGGCTTTATAAAGAGTTTGGCTAAATATAGGGGGGTTATCATTAATGTCCAATACATTCACTATTATAGTCATAGTCCCTGATTTAGCAGGAGTTCCTCCATCAATGGCAGTCAGTGTGAGTCGAATCACAGACTGTTTTTCTCTGTCTAAAACTTTCTGAAGCACTAGTTCGGGAGTGACAGTCTCTCCTTTGATCGTAGCCAGCGAGAAGTGTTCGTTTTGACTAAGCTTGTAGGTGTTAACAGCATTTTTAGCGACGTCTGCATCATGAGCAGGATGCAGGGGGAATTTAGCCCCTGCTGCTGTGTTCTCTGTAATGTTTACAACCTGTGATGTGCTGAGAAATGATGGAGAATTATCATTTACATCCAAGATTATAATTTCTATCCGATACAGTTTTAATGGATTATTAATAACTGCTTCTACACTAAGTGAACATTTTGGTTCATCACCGCAGAGTTCCTCTCGATCTATTCTCTCATTTACGTAGAGGACACCAGTCTTTAGATTTACCTCGAAATATTTTGTCTTTGACCCAGCAACGATCT